ATATTATATATATATATATATATATATATATATATATATATATATATAAGAAAATAATAGAAAATTAATTTCTTCATATAATGAAAACTGCTTGGTTAGCAACTTTCTTCAAAATATCGTCTTTTGCGTACCACAGTAGAAATAAATTTATACAGGTTTGGAACAACATGAGGTTGAAAGGACAATTTTTTTAAATCCCTTTTTAAAAATGTATTTATTGTTATTATGTATTTATTGCAATGTATTTAAATGGCCCTGTGGTATTGACAGTAGAGATGAAATACAGCATGTTCCACTACAGGACATGTCATGCCAATTATATTCAAATAAACTATCAAAGAAACTTACAAAGAAACCAGCCCAGAAAGGACAGGACTGTCTAACACGGGGTGATGAGGTGAAGGCAAGGCTTGTGAAGCTGAAGGCCAGCACCATGGCCCCAAGCGCAAGGTGACACAAGCCCAGGTACAGCAGCACGCGCGCACCGGTCCGCCCAGACATTCCTCTGCGACTCACAGACAAAGCTCGAGACCCTGACATCGAGGCCACGCTACTGGAGTCCGACGGTGAGGGCATGGTGGCTACTGAAAAACTTCCTAAATTGTGGGACTATGTGACTCGGTTTAATATGTGAATATACTTCTTTAGATATGCAGTTAGGGTCCATATAACATTAAGTCCACAGCGGATAAAACGCAACGAAACACACTTATGCTGTGTCAACATTTATTCTTGGCGTCGTGTATTTGCATTCTCCAATATCCCTTGATCTGGTTTGCTCCATCGCCCACCTGCCGTCTTTCTCTCCCATTCCCCGCGGCATTGCGGTACCCAGAGCCTTTAGCAGGCCGAGTAGCTGCCGCATCCGCAAGCGAGCGGAGCAGCTTTGGCCTTCTGGCTTCTCCGCGGAGGAGGACAAATCAATCCAAGTCCTGCTCTCAACGAAGTGTATCTTCACCGGGTTTCCACTAGAGAGCCTCACAGCCCCCACCTGAACTCGGAAAACACGTCTCATGAAGCACAGCAGTATCAGAAGAGCAAAGGGAACAATCGACAGCAAAAGGAAATGAAAACAGGCACGCGGGGGCAGTTTGTTGTGAAGAACTCGCTATGCTGCTCCCATGATGCATCCGCGTGTTTTGAATAATAAATATAAAGCCACGGTGTTCCCTTTGAGGGAGTTTTATCCGAGGTTCAGTCTCCCCCTTTTCCCCCCGCAGTCACGAGGACTCCCGTCCCGTCCGTATCCCGGACATGAGCATCACTACGTAATCGCGTAAGACTTGAAGTGTCTTTGCGTACGTGTGTTATTCACGCATAATGTCTTTACTCCATGTAAACGTTATCCGATGCAATTTCAGCGGGGCTCCGTTTTAGAAAGATCAAATATGCAGCGCATTATGGTAGCACGTGTCCGTAATATTTGTTCAATGCGGCACCGCATTCACCCAGAGCGAGGTGCTGATGCTGCACTGGGTGGGCGGTTGCTTGGCAACCTACTTCGACAGTCACAACGGTTGGCGACCTTTCCGCTCATGCGCAAAAGACATAGCTTCGTACTTACATTTATGTCGTTAACTAAAAGAGGTGAGAAATACATATTTATTATACTGTTATTAGCACAAATGGGAAAAAAAATGTTAAAATGTACGAGATTTTGAACATTATTTACTTTATTAAAAGCAGATCATTGTACAAATTCTGAGAAATATGCTGTGGAAAAGAATATAGACAAGTGGAATATGGCAGGAAGACAGAAACTTGATTCAAAAATTATGCAAAACCAAATATGTGAATTATGTCTGGCCATAATCCTTTTGGAGAAACACACTGTGAATTTTCTTATCCATCCATTAGAGGTCAAAGTCTTTAAAATTGAAGTTGTTCACCTTTTATAGCAACGAACATTCAAACCATTTGTCAAAAAGTGCTGACTAGCCATCAAACTGGACTATATATTTCACTTGAAGTTGCCAAAAGATAGAAATTCATTAGGTACTTGTTCTCCATTTTGACTGAGCAAAACTTGTTGTGCAAGTAAAACCAACATTGTCTCCACTGTAGCCTAGTCACTGTTTTCGTTGTGTAGTGCGAAAATCTAAACATGAAGTAACAAAAAAATGTGATTTTCCTCTAACTACATGAAAGCTGTACCCTGTTTCATATCTCATATTTCATATCTTACTAGTGCCATCATCCTTTGAAACCACTTCCTATTAGCGTTCCATGTTCACTTTGCAAAGAACTCTCAGGCATTAACACTGCAATGTTCCTGTATGTAAGTGTGTGTGTGTGTGTGTGTGTGTGTAGTGAGACCGTCCTCTGCTTAAAAGCATATCTAAAGAAGAAGACATTTGGAGGATTTTTTCTCTGTGCTGGTAAGTTTAACCTCACGACCAGATGGACCCTGTAAAAACAGTAAACATAAGAAATGTAATATAATGCTTGCAGCCCGGTAGGTTTGTTACTGTTCTTGTTAACTTAATCTTTAGATCTGTCTGATTAAAACAACATCATGTGATATCAGTCAGGATAAAAAATACAAATAAGAAGAGATGAATCACTTTAGAACTTAAAAACGTAAGAGTGATTGTGAGTTTATTTCGGTATGAACACGCAGACAATAAGCATCAATAACCATTTTATGTATCACACACTGAAAACTCACCGGCTTCTTATTTGACTTCAGCAAAATGTCTCGTGCAAGAGCAGCAAAAGACTATGGAGAGAAAGTTAAATCCTGTCAAAAAGTAGACTAACTACATCAAATTAAGCACACTGAAATGCACGGATTTACTATTTATGTTTTTACTATTAACTGTCACAGACATTTCTGCAACTGAAACTCATAAATTATCTCAATATCAAAACAATCATTATTGAGAATACAAGACGAATGCAGATAACTGCATAACAGATAAAGATGAACTGTGACTATAAACTAATGATACTGAATTAGACTGAAACTAGAAAACTAAAACTAGAAAAGGGTTCATTTGTTTGTTGAGTGAACATATCTTAAATCGATCAATCCACACCTCCTCAACGTTGATGCTTGATTTTGCACTAGTCTCGAAGAATCGAATACCATGTTCCTTTGCGAGCTATAATAAACGAAAAAACACAAACACTTTTTTAAATAAAAGAATTTAAAGTTTGTTTTCAGCTGAAAAAACATTTATGTAGTACCAAAATTAACAAACTTCACATGTGGTATGTAGTGATATGTTTACATGCTATAAACAAACTGACAGAAAAGCAATTTATAACACCAATAAAACACCTTGCATGCACCTGGATCCGCATATTGGCAGAATGTATGACAGCACTTACCTTCTCGCCTATCTCCTTTGACACTTTCCTTTTGGACTCGATATCACACTTGTTGCCCAGTAACATCCGACTTACACCTGCTGAAGCATTCTGGGAAACACAGAACATAAGAATGCACTCACTTCCTCATTTTCTTCATAACCGAGACTGATAACAAAAGGCCCCATTTGTATTTACACGGCATCTCTTTTCTGGAAACCTACTTCCTATGGCATCTGATCAAGAACTGAAACTCACATTTAATAAAGCTTGTTTCATTTTATGCTTTTCTAGAGGTTGCAAGAAAATGTATGATTATAATCATTCTATATGCAATATTAAGATTGAATTGCTATGCTGTAGATTAAAAAATAATAATAATAACAAAAGAAATATACCAAACCTTTAAAGTCAACTACTAAGGCACAATTCCCACACGTTAAGATTTTATATTAGATTTTATTTCCCTAACAAAATGGGTCAAGCTGGATCAAGCTGTCCAAACTAAGCAGCGATGGGACATAGAAATATGCTAAGGGTTATATGTCCACTTTTATAAGTAAAAAGGTAAGTCAGCACTAATTCGTTTAATCATCTGCTGCATTCGTTTTTTTAAAGAAACTCCTATAATGACTAACAGATTTTATTTTCCTGTTTCTCTCTTACTTCTTTGATGCTCTTCATCCAGTTCTGAATATTCTCAAAGGATTTTTCATCAGTGATGTCATACACAAGGATGATGCCCTGAAAGATATGATCAAAATAATACACCATTAACAAAATGTGTATGATTTGCCATACTCCAATAACTGTTGAAATAATCTGGGTTTCACAATAACCACATAAGTAAGTTTATAGATATTCAAGCTATAGGAACAAAAAGATTATTATGCATTAACATATTTCTCGTCTCACCATGGCCCCTCTGTAGTATGCAGTAGTGATGGTCTTAAACCTCTCCTGTCCTGCTGTGTCCCTAGCAAATAAAACCAGTTACACACATCAGACATGTTAGCGCTCAGAAAGCTTGTCAGAAAAAAAAAAGTTTAATATACATCTTTTATAGCAGCTGGACTTTGAACTTCAGGCTGTCATCACCTCCACATAAATGACTTTATTGAATTGTCAGAAGGTCTGTAGGAAGCCTGAGCTAAAGTCAACCGGACTCCACCTTTGGCACATTTACACTGAGCTTACAGTTTTAACAGTCAACTGTCAAACAGAAAAAGACACCGAAGACGTTTTTTGTGTACACAACACTGCCATTGTATTTGCAGACACTCTGTACATATGTAAAGAAATTTAACTGAATACTTTAATAAAGCATAAGTTTAACTTATCTGATTTAACAAACAAAGAGGACTCATAGCTTCACCGGTTTAAAAAAAAAATTTAAACAAAATAAATTATTTAAAAAATATATAAATATATTTTAGGGAAAGTTTATAGTCAACTAATACTAAAAGTAAAATTATATTAAAAAAATCATTACTTAAAGCACATTTTAACTTAAATAAAATATAAATTATAAAAAATATTAAATGTGTGTGTATATATGTATATATGTGTGTGTGTGTGTGTGTGTGTGTGTGTGTTATTTTTTACCAGACTTGAAGTTTGACTTTCTTTCCCTCAACCTCAATGGTCTTCACTTTGAAGTCAATACCTAGGAAAAAGAAAAAAGGGAACCAGATAAGCCAGGAGGGGCAGGAAGGAAGGGTGAACATGTTTTAACCCCAAGAGGCATAATGAAAGTGGACTAATGAATGTCTGCTACATTCAGAAAAACAAGAGCAGGCATAATGAGATACAATCACTACCCTGGTGGTTTAATAAACACCCTGGTTTGTTTTTCAGTGAATTAGATGGGAAAAGGGAGGGAGGGAAGGGGTCTTTTGAAGGGGGGGGGGTTGATGTAACTGGGGGAAGAGAGATTGAAAATTGAGATACGAGGGAAGGGGTTTTTTGAGGGGGGGGGGGGTTGATGTAACTGGGGGAAGAGAGATTGAAAATTGAGATACAGAGAGGGACAGGCAGTGGCTGGCCGAAGTAAAGTAGCGCGAGAGGGCCGGAAATGCAATCAGGGAGGAGGATACACAGAGCACGGGATGATCCCCACGACTGATCGAGTTATACTGGGGCAGGCTGGAATGAGATGACGTTTGGACTAGTACTGACATGAACGAACACTTGGGTAGCACTTGTTTTACAAGCTAGAAGCTTGGCAGCAGAGCGAAACATCTTACCATATCAAACAGTATTTGAAACAGGTTCATTCTGGTCACTTACCGATGGTTGATATGTACGTTGAATTAAAATTGTCCTCTGCAAAACGGATGATCAAACAGGTCTTGCCAACACCACTATCGCCAATAAGCAATAATTTAAAGAGGAAGTCGTATTTCTTTGCCATTGTTCGTTTCACCCAGATCTTTTAGCAAGTTTTAGATTAGTTTCTCCCCGATTTGATCTTAACACAGTCACGCGCGCAGCCTTTTAAAATCCTTCCGTCTGATTGATGTCCTCGTTTGAAACTTCATGGATTTTCTTTCCTTGGAATACTGTCACCGGTAAACTCAAGTTTCGCTTTGTTGCCTCTGTCCGTCCGGAAAAGAGGTAAAAAATTCCATGAAAACAAAATGGAAAAGTTTGTTCACAGCCCTTTAAACGCGTCCGCGGTAACGTTAGGTTTTTCAGCGCGGATGCCACGCATTCGCCATTTCGGGCTACACTGCGCTAGTTTTCTCTCCTGTACGAAAGGCTTTCAGTATTCATCCATACATAGACAACAGCAGACTTTTTTTTTCTCCCTAAACTTTCCCTTGCCCGAGTTCCCAAAAGCTGACGTCGAGGGAGAGAGAGGTTTAATAAAACAGTGCTGAGGAGAACCGATAACAGCGTCAATCAACAGGGGGCACCATTGACACACAAAATGCTGAAATGAAACATGGATTGTTTTCGTTTGTTTGTTTTTTTGGTCTGTTTTTGACATTTCGAAGCATGGTTTATGACGTTGTCAAGAATACAAACACAATATTTTAGAACGTTTTTAAAAAAATAAAATAACTTAAAACTTAAAATAACGTTTTAAGTGATCAATTTGTGGCCTTTTGAGAAATCAGACAGGACCGTTGGCCTTACGGCATGTTAAGTTTTAAATAGTAGCCTAATTTGTTTTATAGTAGGCCTACATTTATTATACACTTTTAAATATTGTTATCTATGATAGGGTACAATTAATGGGTCTAAAGGTTCTTCCCAAAACACTACATCGCTATTCTAAAGCACTGTACTGAAATCAATTGTTTAGCATAAGTAGTGATGAATGAATTTTAAATAGTTGTGCAAATTGGGACCATATTGGCTATTCCTGTCACAATGGAAATTTGTTAGCACCATTGTTTTAGTAGGCCTATTATTTATACAGGTATATAGTATTGAACAATATTTTGAATTTTTGAATATAATGAAATTACAAAAGGATTGAAAAGGAAAATCGAAAGGATCCCAAACACATTTTAAAAAATATTAATATATTTAAATTATTATTTAATTATTGTAATAATATATTAATACACCAAATTATGACTTTTGAATGTTAGCTGTTAGGTTGCCTATTATTACGTCTCATTAAGAGTGACGTCCGAGAGTCAAACAGCCTTTGAACTTACCCACATAACTCACAGGCTGTCTAAGCTCAGTACTTTGTGAATGAATTAAGAAGAATGCTTTTATTAAACGTTAGTGAAGTATTTCCTGCCCCTGCTCTCGAGCCCCGTTCATATGCGCGTGTATTTCCGCTCGCCCCCCCCTTTTCGGCTGCTGCTCCACTGTCGCCAACATGCCTGTAAGTGCGTGCTGTTACAATCAAGTCCATTTAAGACCTAATCACGGCGTGTGTATGGGTTAAATAGCATCGATGACGTGGGGGGATCGTGTCTTTATGAATTTACCGGCCACGATATATGAATTTCACCTATTTACAGGTTTAAACTTGGTAGAAAAGAGCGAAGCGCGTGCTATGTGGATCGGAACAAGATGGCCGCGTGCATGTGCTCATATAAGCATGTAGAGCAGCGCGCCTCCCATACAAATAAAAAATCACGATACGTTGTTGAGATTTAGTAATTAAATAATACTTAAAAGATTATTAATATTTTTGAAGGTGGAATATTGGTAGCATGTCCGTCTTTTAGTTGGTTAAACGTAAAGTGTGAAGAATCGAGTCACCCTTTGTAGTGGTTGCTTGGTAGTGTTGTTAATCTTTTGATAATCAGTTGATCAGCTATAATATCATCAAGCCTATGCAGCTGTCACTTGTGTGACATTTCCCGTTATTGAGTTACAGCGTTTATATGGTGCTTGTGTTCTGTTATCGTTGTGACTGTTGAGATGCCATAAAATGGCTGCGTCCTCGATAAACCATAGCTGAGCCTTTGCAAATGTGATTAACACATCTCTCATCACTTTTTAGCTCGCGAAGGACTTGTTGCACCCGACGCCAGAGGAGGAGAAGAGAAGACACAAGAAGAAGCGTCTCGTACAGAGTCCCAACTCTTATTTTATGGATGTCAAATGCCCAGGTAACAGCTGCAGACTAGGTGCTCGGAGTAAACAAGCTGAGCCACTACGGGACATTGGTTACAGAGCTATCACTTTGTCACAGTTATTGGAGCAAAGGACAATATTTTCAGTGGCCTTTGTTCTGGAAGTATTTTTCCCCACAGATTTTTAAAATGTCTCCGTTTAAGCATTATAAGCTATGAAGTGAACCAACCAGCTACAAGGTGAATCACAACAATACAAACTTTTATGTGAAGGAAAAAAGTATTTGAAATTTGGACAAAAAGGTACAAGACTTTGTGTTTACCAGCTTTAATAAGGGAATGAACTAAAATCCCATAAAACGGTGTGAACGACATGAAATAAAATGGATAAAAATAAACTTTCCACCATTAAACATGATTATTGGTAGGATAAGTTGAAATAATGCGGGTTGAGGGTTTTAACAAAAGCAGAAACCATTGATTAACAACTTCAGAGCTCACAGTTTCCCTATAGAGAAAATGAATGGGATTTTTACTTTCGTAGCCCTACTGTTGCACTCTATACATCATCAGTGGTGATTTTAATGTGCAGTACAGTGTAAATGCATTATGATGGTACTACCAGAAATGTTATAATCCAGGCTTAAAATGCAGTAGGCCTAATCAGTTTTTGTAACAGGGTCCCAGACTCCCCGCTCCATCTCAATATCCACCAAAAAAGACCCCTGGTTATGTCATTACGATCACTGTACAATGCCTGATTAATTATAAGATGTAACTTTAAGCATTTATGTTTTCCATAGGGAAATGGATTTTGAACAATAACTTATCCTTTAGAGACAAACCATATAAGAGAATCGAAACAAGCAAAACGCACCTAAAGAGCTATTCAGCATCCACCCACTCCCATGAAGCGCTGCATGAATTTTTTTATTTATTTTTTTAATCCTTAAGGGGGAAAGAGAATAAGAAAATATTTCTAGAACCAAGGCTGTTGAAAAAGTGGGCAGGCATTGTTGCTTTCTGGGGCCTATGCTGTGTGTCCTGCATATGTGATCACAAGCTTATGTAATGGAGTGTTTGAAACTTTTCACCATTCTCTCTTTGCAGGCTGTTATAAGATCACTACGGTGTTTAGTCACGCACAGACAGTGGTCTTATGTGTAGGATGCTCTACAGTACTGTGCCAGCCCACCGGAGGAAAGGCGCGCCTCACAGAAGGTATCGCTTGTATACACAAGACACCAGTGCACATGAGTTTAGAGGGATTGCCCAAAGCATGAAAGAACCTAGTTTCTTGATAAATCTGATCCCATAAGCAGAATCCCTCAGTGGGATTTTCTTCTTTACAGCAGCAGTCAGAACATGTCACATTAACACATTAAAATACAGTCTTCAGAAGATGACTAATGAATTCATGTTTTCGTGTGGGAGAAATATGGCTGGAAGTGCACTCACAGATCAAAGATACACATACAGGCACTTGTAAATGTACCAGTGCCATGGCAACACGCCCACACAGACCACCCCAGTGTTTCCCACTTGATCATTGTTCTCTTCTTAAGCTAAAGCTTGATGATTGGTGAAGCTCTGAAACGCTCTGCCCTGCTGGCATAAAGTTCAGCAGAAAGTGGGAGAGGTAGTAGCAGATTGTTTCTGTCCCACTCAACACCATCTAATTATTTAGTTCCCCAGCCATAAATTGACATTCATATTTTCTATTATTAAAATAATTTTAATTGCTTTATTATAACAGTTATAAAACACTAATTTAGTTTTTTGAGAATTTTATGGCAACTAACAATTATTTGAATAATTGATCTTTGCTTAATTTATTCCTCAGATTAAACAAAAAGCCTTTTTTATATATATATATATATATGCATTTCTCAGTTCCGCTCACTGAAGTCTTTGAGGTTTAAGAACCTTGTCTGGATGAGCCATTTTTCAAAATGAATCTACTCACGAATTTCTAACATTTACGGATATGAAAATAAAGTAATGCGTTGGAGAAAACACCTCAGGCACATTAATCAAGCACCTGCCAGGGCAACCTACATGAAACGATACGCTTATGACATTCTTTAAAATTTCTTGAACAACTTTTCACTTTTTTTTTTTTTTCATAGAAATACATTTTCCACTACTGTGTGGCAAAATATAGAATTGATTTTAAGCTGAATTCTAAAAGCTTTGATCTTTCTCTCTGTTAACAGGATGCTCGTTCAGGAGAAAGCAGCACTAGTCTCTCATTAACCATTATGCATGGAGGGAGACCACGGGAGGAGAGACAGGATTGGCCACTTCACAGGGATTTCAGTGACTCCGAGGCAGTGTTTCTGATATATAACGGGGCAGGGGAGATCAAAGCTAAACCGAGAAGAGTGCTAGAAAACTTGAAATGTCAAAGTGCTGTCTGAACAGAGCGTGTGAGGTGTATAACCACCAAACCTGTCTCTCTCTCCCTCTCTTATTAAAATAAAGGTTCATTTTTTTCATTTATCTGTGTGTTGTGGTAGCTTATTTACCAGCCTATCTGCATTGTCACTGCCACATAAATAAAGACCTTTAGTGTCATGCTCATCTGTTGTACAACTTAATATTATCACCAGGTAATACAAATATTCTTCCTTAAATATTGTATGCGTTGTTTAGATGAGCAACAGTCTGACTATTCACACGTGACAGGCATTATACATAGACTATCGTTCAAAAGTGTTGGGCCAGTACAATTTTTTGAGATATTACAGAAAGTCTCTTATGCTTGGTCTCTTACGGCTCAAAGCTGAATTTTCAGCAGCCATTACGCCAGTCTTCAGTGTTGCATGATTTTTTTCAGAAATCATTCTAATATGCCATTTTTATGCTCAAGAAGCATTTGTTTTCAAAGTTGATAATAGTTGTGCTTAATATTTTTGTGGAATCTGAAACATTTATTTTTTTTCAAGATGAAAAGTTCAGAAAGTTCACAACAGAATTCAATTAAATAAGAAATATTTATGGATGTTATAAATGTATGTACTGTCACTTTTGATGCACTTTTAATGCTTCCTTGCAGAATAAAAGCATTATTTAAAAAAATAAAAATACCTCAAATGTTAAAGTAAAACTGAAGTAAAAAAAAAAAACCTGAAGTAATTTGCATGTGTTTACTGCTGAATTGTATAGACTGTAATAAATGAAAGAACCATTTACTTTAAAGATTCTCACTGTGGCTCAGAAAGAATAACATGAGGGAAGAAAAGATACATTAAGTTATTTAATACTCCAGAGCCACCGTTTTCTCGGCAGGACTTTTGGTGTTGCCAGTGATGGTGAGAGCCACAGATAGAAATGTCTTCTTTTGTCGTCTTCTGAAAGAAAATTAGAAAAAAGCATATCGGTCTGGTAGCACGTTTGAACCATAACATGCTAATTTAGTTGCATTCAGTAACTTTTCTTCTGCATTGTGATGTTCATCTGAGTGAAAATGATTATCCAAAAGAAAACAATGTAGGGCAGGGACTTTGTTCAATCCATC